AGCTTCCAAGTATCATTAAACAAACAGAAAACAGGGATTCTCTCCCAAAATGTCTTGTAACAGAGGCACAAATGCATAAGGACATGTTAATAAATTAAGTCACCACTTGTGCAAATGACTTTTACATGCTAGCAGAGAGGGACAAACCAAATATTTAATTAAAAAAAAAATAAAATAGAGGCAATAGAGAAGAAAAAGGATACGCCACAGTTACACTTGTTTGTTGCCCTGAGAAGTCTGTGGCTTTTATCTAAGTTAACTGTGGGTTTCCTTTCTAAACCTCTAAATAAAAGGACTTGCAAGAGGATCTGATTATAAAGTATCAGTTTCAGCTGCTAATGAGATGAATGCCAGGTATTTCCTTAATCCTAATGCATTTGCACAGTTTTGGTGGTACTGGACACTAACAGTAGGCAAAGGGAAAAATACAGGACTACCATAAAAAAAAAAATAGATTTTGCTCATCTTTATACATCAATAGAATCTTAGTTTCACTCCTTGAACAATTTCTAGTTGGAATACCAGTGTGCTGATAACTCAACACTAGAATTCCTAGGATCCCAGTGATTCCAGGTTAGCATTCTCCCTTTTGAGTTAATATTCATGGTAGTTTTAAGGTAGTTGCTTTTGCTGTGTTCAGGAGGAAAACGATGAAACAGGAAGTGCCTCAGAGAGCAGCTGTATAACTTCTTCTAAAGAATCACTGCCCAATAATCAGCTTATTTACCTCTTTCCTTTTGTGATTGCCAAAGAATCTCTCATTCAGTTTATTCCCAGTAGATATTTTAGGATTATTTTTTTTCCTCCAGTTCAGCGGCAAAAACAGATCAATGCAGCGCTTCTGAATACATTTCTGAATGCGAAGGTCAGATGTCTAATACTGAGCAGCAGCACGGCTTTTGGCATTACACCACATGAAATGCAGCCAACAGTAACAAACGTTCTCCTGTTTCCCAACTCTTTCATCCCATTCTGTTGCAGTCTCTGCGGCTGGAAAAGCAAGCTAACATTTCAAACTCTGCAAGTCTGATGCTACCCTTCAGCCGACCAGAAGAGGAGGCTCTGACACTGAGCAATGCGCTCCTTCCCTGGAGAAAGATGCCGTGATCCTGCAGCAATCCCTTATTAGGAGAGGAAAAACTGCGTTTTAATGTCCCAGTGTAATGTCAGTGAATGAGCTCAAAAACTGATAAATGTAGTGAGGTCTCAGACATTTGGGAATAGAAGGAAGCTATGAATCAGCTGTTTCTTTTCCAAAATATTATTTTTCTTTTCTTTATAAACATTCAGTTTCCACGAAAGGCAAATGCTCCTTATGTATCAGAGAAGGGGAGAAACAAACTCATATTGGAAAACACAATACCAGTTTTTCAGGTCCTCTTCCTTTGGCAGCCCATGCTCTATTTATCTATTGCTATGACTGTACAGTCTTTATTCACTTCTTGGAGAACAATTTTAATGCTATACTAGTGAATTTGACCTCCCAACATGCCAAGTTATTGCCTTAAACATTTTAGAGAAAGAAGGAAATGGTGGCACCATGACAATAAGTGAATGCTCAAAGACATCCAACAAACACCTTTTAGCTCAGCCAGCTCTTCCATCCTATGCTTTGCTTAAAAATTCAATCATCTCTTCATCTATTTTCTCTTAACAACATGGATTCCGAAATTTGTCAGGAAACAAATCATAAGCATCATGAGATCCTCACCAGGACTCTGAAATAACTGTGTTCAGTACTGTTTCAGAAACAGGACAAGAGAGTCATATTATTAAAATTAAAGAGGCTGCCTTAATACCTTTATGTAAAGGGACAAATGTTAAAGCTATGCTTAGCCTTATAGCTTCTGCTTGAACATTTTGAACTGTACTGAGCTGAATCTTCAACCATGTTTTGTCCCCCCAGAAAAGCTGCAGGAATTCACTGACAGCTTAGTTTCAATCCTTGGGACTTATGCTGACTCATTTTATTATTTGAGTGCTTTCAGCATTAGTTATACCCTTTCTTCCAGCTATGCCACACCTATGCAAAAGACTTGACTAAATACTTTGACTAAATCCAAAAGATTTGACTAGACTAAATGAAAACTGTTTCAAGTTTGAGATTAATGTCAGATAAGGAAATAGTGAAACTACACATCATTCCAGTAACAGCCCTACAGCTCACTAACGCCATACCTATGGTTGCAGAAGCTGTATCATCCATAGTATCGATCAGCTCAAGGAAGTCTGGATAGAATATATGTGTAACGTCAAAAAAAAATTATCATGGTGAAGAATTCCGTGGTTTTTATACCTTCCTTACATGTCTCTAAAATGATGTATGCTTCTTTTTGTAAGACACAAAGAACCATAACTATAGCAGTCAAAGAAGACATACATGCTTGAAAATTAGTGGAACTGCAATCAGATCAGCAACAATGTACAAGAGAATTTATGGTTTAAACTAGATACTGAACTTGCACATGCAGATTTTTTTAGCTAACGTTGCCATGCCTTAACCTTGACTCAGAGAAGAGTGAGAAAAACTTCTCTTGATGTTTGGGGACAACACGGTCATGACTGTCTTGTAATGAAGTTTTTTGCTCTTTTTTGAAATGCAATGAAATTCATTTCATGTGACCTGTGAGAGTCTAAACACTGTCAAGCAGTGATATGGAGGTGACAGCTTCTGCCCATGTGTCACAGAATTCTTTATTCCTATAGTGATACTGTTACTAGAAATAATAAGGGGACAAACAAAGAAACCTTGATTTTTAAAGTATATTTACTGTAACACACCTTATTGCAACGTCCCCATAGCACTGTCTGTATCAGTAAAGACTTTATAGTCTGGATTTTGAGACTTATCTGGTGGTTCAATGTCTTCATATCCTTCCAAGCCACCCTTAGGGAAGAATTTTTCTTCAGTTAAAAATTGACTGTTGTCTGCTAGTGTATATTAGTGACAAATGTCACTCCAGCATTCGACTGCTACCTCTTCCCCCTGGGCCAAAGACTTAAGAAGACCTTTCTGAATATTTCTACTATGTTTCCCACCATACCTTCTCATAGATACCACCCTTTTCCTCCAAACAGGTTCCAGTAAATCTCTTTTCCAGCTGCAAGTACTGCCTGTAGTCCATTCAGAATAGGTGGCCTCCACTCCACCTTCCAACTCAAACCACTCTATGATTCTGTGATTCCTAAGCACTGATGCGCACAATTCTCAAGTGTGAGAAAACATGCTCCTGAAAAAGGGTTGAGTTCCTTAATCCTCATCTCTCTCTGAAGGGTTAAAATAAGTAATATAAAGTGACTTTATAGCTTTCACGCCAAAGGCACTTTTAGGACCTTTAGAAAAACCTGCAGTGGGTGAAGTTAACTTTTCTATAGGATAGATAGTTGAGGGAGAAAACTGTTTTGTGTAGTAAACAGCTTTAAATACCTACAGCAGTAATTTTAAAATTGACACTTGCCAGGGAAGAAATGCACCTGTTAGAGAGTCATGAAAATCTGATGTATAGAAACCTGTGTGCCTGTGGTGGAAGTAGGCTAACTGTCATACCCGCACAGGTGCTTCTGAGGGTCCCAAAAGATAACCGTCACTCTTGTGCTGGTGAATTACTCTGAATAGACATGTCTACTTGCTGCATTGAAAACTAACAGCATTCTGTGTAGTTCTTGAGGGAAAATAAGTACTCTCTCCTCCTTCCTCTCCCTATGACTTTGCTGGTGCAGCTGAACATCAGTCTAACTGGAAGAATGATCCATTGTTTTTCTTCTAGGAATTTCGAAGTCCTGTTTGGTGACTCCTCCAATAACTTTCTCCAAGATAACTTTTATAAAATCATGAGAGAAGCAGAAACAGCTCTGAGCAAGGCAATTTCTTAATTTCTTCTGCCCTGGACAAAAAGTTTACTAGATCCAGAGCAAAATAATATTATTTCTTCCTCAACTAATAAATGGCTGAACAGGTTCATTTCAAATTTGACAGAATAAAAGTGAATCAAATTAATCTGCCCAAGTGTGTTCTCTTCTGTTATTTTGCACAAATTTGCAGCGGTTAGAGGGATGATGTTATCCTCTGAGCTTTGAATTTGGAAAACATGGTGTTTATAAAAATTACTTAGAATTCTATCTATCTATGGAAGTCAGAACTGCCAAAACCAGTAGAACATCACCTAATTCTCCATGTATTTTGATCTTCAGTATTTCTTATTTACACAACATGCTAGGGATGAAACTGGCATTCTCAGAAGGGACAAAGTTGCAGAAATTGAGATTTTACCCCCTCTCCATTTATCTAATTAAATGTATCAGCAATAGAAATGTCCTACCTAGTGCTTCAGCCTAAGGATGTATACAATATTTCAGGTATCCTCGCTCCCCAGTACCGCCCAAAGACACAGGTGATGAATTACCAGGTACAGTCAATAAATGCTGTTTGTTCTGATATGAACATTTATTTTATGGAAGATGACAAGACTTGACAACAGAAACCAAGCCATCCAGTTCCTCTGCCACCGGTATCCATTAAATTGACTTATTGACTTATCTTTATTTTTTATTCTCACATCTTTTGAATAATGTGACAAGCATACAATATGATGCAAGGTTCCAAATGCCCTAATGTTCTCATTCCAAGTCAGTGTCTTTTCAATTGTAGTCAGGACTTGGGCACACTCAGGCACAGTCTAATGTTTATTTTCCCCAGGAATCTACAAAAGCAAATTTTGAGAAGCTTTGGTAGCCTCTTGCAGCCCAGATGAAAGCAAGCTGCTCAGAATGGGGTAGACCAGATAACATCGGAGGATAGCTGGATGCTTTGGTTCTGCTAATCGGAAATAAACAAAAACCAGATCACTAATACATTGCGTTATGACAGCTTTGCTGACTGTGCATTCATTCAATGCTTACTTATTTGGGGTGGGCAAAAGCTATTTCCTGTAGAGGTATTTACCTTCACTGTGGCAGATAAAAATGGTATTAACTTTGGCTGAGGAGAAATTGTCACATACCTTCTGGTGGGGAATTACAGCCCTGGGAGTATCAATTCTGGGCGTTGTAGTTGAAATTGGCACTGGACGTTTAGATCTAGGGACACCCCCCAGAAAAGAAAAAAAAAAAACAAAAAAAAAAACAAAAAAGAAAGAAAGAAAAAAAAGATTAGCAATCTGGACTCCTACTTTTCAGCTCTAATTTAATGCAAAAATGCTACTTCATCAGGACTGAAAGCTAAGCATAGCCTAGAATTCTTCTAGTGTTCACCATGCTGCTTCTGCATCCTCATTTATAAAGGTCTTAAATGTGAGAAAAAGTTTGATATAGTTTCCCTGAATGATGAAAAGCCACCAGTTGCAGAAGCAGCCTCTGACCTGGGAGATAATCCCTTTTCCAGTACCTTGTGACAAACTGCATTTTCATAGATGACAGTCAGCCACAACTAGATACATTCTGGGAAAAAGGACTTGGAAGTGTTTTAAAATGCAGAGACTAAACTTCAGCACTGAGGCACCTGAAGATCAGCTCCTCAAAAGATTATTTAAATAGCTTAGGTTGTATAGCAACTGTCATAATTTAAGCATCTCTGCAGGAAGAAACATGGCCTTAATTTCAGACAGTTTAGTTTAAAAAGGAGCAGATCACTACTGAATTAACAATATTCTAGTCCAAATGCCTGCCTTTCACCTGTATTTGACAAATATACATACATAAGCATTTAAAAACCAAAAATAAACTCCATTAAAATGCTTTCAAAACATAGTTTGCCCTTTCATTGGAACATAACAAAGAAAGCACAGAGACAAATCCTAGCTGAAGCACTCAGGTAAGTGTATTTGTGGGAAGTGTTGTGAGAAGCTACATAGCTCTGAACATCCCCCTGAAGTCTTTCCAGTACATATGGGATCACCAGAGAAAATGAAATTAAAAATGTAAAAATAGTCAAACAAAAGAATCAGAATTATACAAGTAATATCCTATTATCAACCTAGAGATCAGGATTATGCCTTGAATTCTCATCTTTAAAAAGTACATTTCAAAATTAGGACAGGTTCAAAAATGAAATAAAAATTCTTAAAAGCATGTAAATCAAGTGGAAGCGACATTTGGAATTGTTTGCTTTAGAGAGATGAGTAAGGGAAGACATTACAAAGGCTTAGAAAATAATGAACTGTAAAAAAGGGAAGTAAAGCTACATTCCTGGACACTAAATGAAATTAAAAAGGCAACACACACAAAATTGATAAAGGCAAACATTTTTTCCTAGAGTACCTGATTAACCCGAAATGAAACTAATTGATACAAGACACCATTGAGACTACAAGAACAGTAGGATATTAGAAAGGATTAGATATTTATACTCGCAAGAAAAACCCCAACAGCTGCTGTACCTTGGGTAAAAATAAGCAGCCATACAGACTCTCATTTTTCATGGCACAACTTAGAAGACCAATAGTGGGAAAGCAGGATTTCCTTACTGAGGGCTGTGTTGTACGTTCCTTTGAAATACTTCCCAGTGGCATCTACCAGACAGAAAGCTGAGCTAGACAAAAACTGGGCTTATCCGTAGTTGCAATCCCTGCATTAATAACTAGTTTCACATTCAGCTGTGTTCAGCTTTAGCTGCCACATCTATATTTCCATAAACAGGAGTAAACAAACAAACAAACACAAACCTAGGAAAAAGGAGTAATCCTTATAGGAACTGTAAGATTTCCATACAGAAGAAATTGAAGTTATGCTACTTCAAGAGCTGAAAACAGATGATGTAATAGATGCCTACCTTACAACGAGACACTATGAAAGTGAACAGTTTGAGGAGCAATGAAAACTGGCATTTTGTTAAACAATAGGTAATTAACCCTGTGAAATTCGCTGGCAAAGTATTCCTGAAACAAGAGGCTAGAAAACTGTAAAAGGCACTAATGCTGATACTCACAGGTGGAGTCTATCACAATATACTCCTTAAGATATAATTATCTGAGAAATACATACTTTCAAATTCTAAGAACAAGAGTTAATCACTAACTGCCTAGAACAAAATTTCCTCAAGCAAGTTACCAACTGATCTTCACTCAGGAGAGGGTGCTGTACCCTTCCTCCAACCATTTCAGCTTAAAAAGAGAAACAATAAACCTTATTCATGCACATGTATCATGAAAGACAGCAAAAAAAAAGAACCCCCCCAAAAAAAAAGATCAGCTGCAGTCCAGAGCAAAATCAGAATTGCTGAAAATTGACTGTGACAATTTTATGAACAGGGATGTAGGTGGAGATTCTGATCCTCCTTCCATTGGTGTAATTTCTGGGTACACCCAGTTATTTTTCTGAAGTTACATGTGGGGACCTGGGCATACCGAAGACTGGAGCTGGGCATAGTAAACACTAAGTGTCCCTCTTGCTCTGCTCACCGATCACGAATTTTAGCGCCAAAGTTGCTCTGCACTGTAAATGCTGCTTGTCACGTACAGAGGTATAGCAAACAACCACATACTGCATGTTTGAGTCATAGCTGGAAAATACTGGTATTGCAGCAAAGGAATTTATTTACCAAACTACTCCATCACTTCTGTTGTTTATTGTATGTCTATTTTCTTTCACTCATTACCTGACCAGAGAAGATGATGTTAAAAAGCTGTATTTCTTCCACATTACTGATAAGCTACATCTGTCATTCACAATGCTATCCAACCAAGATATTTATTTCACACTGACTTTGAGGTTTCAAAATGCTACTTTAAAACAATGAGGTTCCTACATAACTCTGCCCTGGATGTTTATAGCTTTGAGATTTAAAAACAGAATGGTGAGACTTGGTAGATTCAGCAGAGCCCTGAAACAGAGAAAAGGGCAGAAGAGGTGAAGTCAATTTGTGGAATGAAAGTGTATGTACTTACAGAATAAAGTGATTATTTACATAAGAGCCATTACTCCTCTCAGAAAAATGTCTGGAAGTTCAGGTTAATTTTTTCCTCCCTCTTTAGCTAGACGTAACACAAGTTTGACTTTCAGCTGATGAAAACTCGTGTGTCCAGATTTATATCTTAATCCATTGGTTAGAAAATTATTTTATTCCAAACACTGAGGGAGTGTATTTACTTAGCAGGGCTATGAGGAAGATGAAAGTCCAAACCTCCCAAACGGCTGTGACAATTTTAGATTTGATGTTGAAATGTTCCATCAAGATCGGTTTTGTGGTTGTAATTGGATATCAACTTTTAGACATTTTCTCCTATATTTTCAAGTTAAAAATGGAAGCAAAAACCTCATTTAAAAATGAAAACTCAGAACAGTTTTAACAATGACCAAATACATCATTCTGGTATTAATTCTCCTCCTTTCCACAGATACATCTCTCCTCTTCCTCAACACGAGTTCTCTTTCTTAATGATGTTCAAAACCAAGATGGATGTTGTTTTGCAAAGCAGTTCAATTTGATAACACTGCTGATATGGCTGTCAAAATTTCTACTTGTTCCCACGTAACTAAATGTACCTTGAAGAGCACTTCAACCCTGGTATCTGCATTCACAACAATGGTTCATTTGAAGTCAACTGCATCAAGAGGAGCTGCCTGCCCCAGGAAGGTTTGCAACAGAGTTCTGTAATGAACTATCACTTTAACCCATGTCCTCAGAGGAGCACAATACTGTACTTGCAGAGAGGTGACATGATCTAAGATATTAAGAGATAATAGCTCTTTTTCATCTTCATGTGGCTTTTTTTATATTTCATATCTTCACCAGTCAGTGTCTAGTTCTCATGACAGCTAAAATAAACATTTCTTTTCTTATGGTAGGATTTTGCTTTCATTTTAATACAGATAAGCTCTTATTTAGGCCTTGTTGAGCATCTTAATAATGTTATCTTAATATTTCAACCACTAGAAAATGAAAAGGGAAAAGTGCATAGATAAATAATAAAACAGATTAGATTAGATTAGAAATGCCTAGAAAACATTTTACATACTTTACTTGTCACCTAACTTAAACCGAGTCATTCTGGAGTGGAACAGGTAAGCACATAGCAGGATGCAAAACAACAGAGCATGTAGAACTGGGCTTCTGATCATGTATCTGTTTTAATGCAATAGTATTCCTGACCATTTGGTAGGGGTGGGGGGGGTAAGAGGCATAGAAGGGACAGACTAAATATTAGACATGGTTATCAATTTGAGGTGTCCATTTAATAAGATCAGTAACCTGTTGCTTAAATCTTCAGCCAATTAAGTAGCCAAACAGAAGCTCCTTCTTGTTTGCAAGTCTTGCACAGAAAATCTTGAGTCTTGTGATACCATGGTTTAATTCTCTAAGCCCTGCCTGGGACATCAGCAAACAGTTGTCTTAGTGACTCCAATGAGATTCACAAAGACAAAACCCAGAACACTTGATGGTACTTCAAATGTAACTGTGATCACTTTGGGGCTAGGATGAGACCTACTTTCCCTCTCAGGATATCATCTGTGCCTGCAAGAAAATTGGAAAGTATTTCCATCAGCAGTTTTGCTCTTTATATATTAATGGTGAATGCAAATATTACCACTTAGCTGGATGACTGATTTCTTAATTATTTCTCTGCATTGTGCTGCACTCAGATTGCAAGACAAGCAATTATGCTTTACAGACCTAATATTCATACTCACAGCAATATACGGACAAAAACTTCTCATGCATAAATGGCACCAACCTAAAAGGGAGCTGCTATTCAAAAAAACCTATGAAGGAATTTGTTTGGAAGTATGTAGTACCCATTATCCCTTAGAAGGGAACTGAGTCAGGGGCAACCACAAACATGGAATAGAAAGGGAAAGGAAAAGGGAAGAAACCTTGGAAATTTTTGTGAGAGGAAGGGAACTGGAGACTGTGCATAAAGCTGAGATTCTTAAAAAAGAACATGTATTTAAAAAAACAAAAAAAAAAAAAAAGAAAAAGAAAAAGTTGGAGAAGAAAATTCTACTCTCCTGGTCTCTCTTTGACCCTTTCTACTTCTGTGGCATACACACAGTGCCTGTTGCATCTTCTTAACTCTTCCTCTCCTTCCTGCTATGCAAATTCCGTTCTTTCTTGAACTGCCTTGAATTCTGTCCTCCAGCCT